TTTATTAGTACAATAGCAGACCCAAAAGTAGAAGCACCGTAAGTGTTTCTACTGCTTTCCTAAGTTTAGAAGTTTATCGGAGCTCCCCGTGAAGAAATAAGAGGCCCGTGTGTGCGTGAGGAGACGCTGACCTTCTTCTCCTGAGCATATCACACTGGCAGAGGTCACATTTCCATCATGTTTTCCACTCTTGGCGTTGGAGCGTCTGCTGCAGCAGATTAATCATCACACAGTGAGCTCTTGACTCGGCGCTCGCTGCTCATCTGTGTCCGTGAGCTTCGTACAGGCGCCCTGAGACACCCGGGGAGAATTACAGACGGCTTCATTCCTCAGCTGCTGCCAAGCAGAACGATGGAAGGGCCGCTTTCCCTTTCTCCACGCTGTAATTACACACACACACACACACACACACACACACACACACACACACACACACACACACAAAAACAACACAGTCCAGTCGCTCCAACTGTTTAAATCTGCCTGTCGGTTAATTAAAACGAGAAGTGACGTGAAGCTGATCTGTGTCAGTCAGGTGTGTGTGTGTGTGTGTGTGTGTGTGTGTGTGTGTGTGTGTGTGTGTGTGTGTGTGTGAGAGACGCAGGCAGGTCAGTGTGTTTTTTCACACCACTACAGATTATTAATCTGGTTAAAGAGAGCTGATGAAGTGTAACTGACGTGGACTCACAGACTCACAAACACACACACACTCTCTCCAGAGCTGTATTTGTGTGTGTGTGTGTGCGTTTGTCTGCCTGTTTTGTGAGGACCATGGTTAGATCTAGACCTTATAAGGACATCAGACTTACAAGTGTCCGTTTGAAGGTTCAGATCAGAGACTGTAAGAACAGTTTTTCTTTCATTTTTCTTCTTTCAGACCTTTTGGGGGGGGGGGGGGGGGGGGGGGGGGGGGGGGGAGCCTGAAACGTTTTTATTCGGATGAGTTTTTATTTATATTTTATTTTTCAATGATACCTGTTCAGGACACGGTCTGGGTGCACGGTCGAGAAAAATGCTGAGTTTTCCCTTTTAAGAAATACAAATTTTAGATTGTATGGATCGGTGGGGACTTCTTTTCTTCTTTCTTTGTCTTAAAGCTGTGCGATCAGAGGTTTTAATAGTTAGTGTGGACCGTCCCCCACACCTCTAAAGCTAACACTCATTTTACCTCGTACGCCACTTTATTCGTAAATGGTCCAGTGCAGCTTTAATCCTGGAAATACAAGTATAATATGTGTTTTTCCCCATGATAGAGAAATTCTGCTGTAGTAAATGACAGAAACCTAAAGTGTAAGAAATGAGTGTGTCAACAGTTCTGTAGCTCATTACACTCATTATAAAACTGAAAGGTTTTGTTAGTTAACACAAAATCTCTTTTTTTGTCTTTTATTTAATTTACTGTGGACCCATTGTATTAAAAAAATAAAAATATTTCTTTCTGATCTCTTTTAGGGCTGTTCGATATAACGATATATCCGATGACATTCACATTACGCTATCGTTTGTTTTGTGGTGTCACAAATGTGCATTTTTTGTATATTTTTTTTTCATCGTTTTGTATGAAAAAAATACAAAACAACATCTTGTATTTATTTCTTAAGGTTCTCTCTTTCTCTCATATTTAATATAAACACGCTGCAGACAGACAAGCGACTGTTTTTATGCGTTGACCGTAAAACCATCGCGTGGCTCCTGCGTCCGCTTGTTTATTTTCCACATAAACCTTTTCACAATAAAGCTCAAGATCCTGTTGAAATTTGTCTGCTAGGCTTCATCTTAGCTGGTACCTGAACTGGACCCCTGGACTGTTTGTGGGCTCTTGGAGGCTTATAAACATTTCTAATGCAGTTATCTGACCAATGATATGGCTGCAGTGTGGTTAATGCTGAAATTATAGGATTTTATTTGCTTGTTACTGAGCACTTTGGCCTAAAAGTCTGTTGAAATTTTAAAAAATAAACTGAATCAAGTGAAAGAGTGCACAGAGTGTTTACAGATGAAAAGCAAAAAAATAAACCTTAGACTCGAACCTTAGAACTTTTCCCCGCAGCTCGGGGGTAATTAATAAATAATACATACTCACAAAGAAAATGTCTAAAAATGTATAGTTTCATGCATCGGTCGAAACAACTAACTCCAGGTGCACGACCTGCAAAAAAAAAAGTAAAATCCAGAGATTCACAGAATTTACAGAAAATGTAAACGATGTGTGATATATATCGTTGCCGGGACGATAAATGTCTTATATCGGGATATGAGCTTTTGGTCGTATCGCACAGGCCTAATTTCTTTGTTGGTCTGTTACTTGATTACTTTGCTGTAGTGTTATTAGCAGAGACAGGGAGAACTTTATTAGTTACACAAAGTGTGAAACGTGAAAATACAGTTAAAGGTCTAAACTTTAATCTAGTGCAGTCCAGCAGGCCAGATTGGAGCTTTACAAGGCCCGTTTCTGGCCCCTGGGCCTTATGTTTGACAGCCCTGGTCTACACAAGATGCAACCTTTTTTTTAACCGTATGCCCTTTGTAAATAAGAATATTATAGTCTGGATGAAGCCAAGTCAAAACAAAGTTATTATATATTTTTCGGCACAGCCAGCCTGAAGTGTCTTCACAGTCTCCGTTCACGTGGAGACGTTCCTACACGACTGACAAATGTCCTCCGTATTTTGAATAAAGTAACTGTGAGAACTAATCTTTTAAAAAAGCAAATCTGTAATAATAACAAAGGCCAGTTTCCATAATATTGGATTTTATAAGCCTAAACACTCCAGCCTAACAAAAGTCATCGTGTGGGATTTATGTTATTTTGAAAACATTCATCCATCACAGCCAATAGCTGCAAGCGACACAGACACTAAACAGGAAGTGAGCCACATAAAAATGTAAAAAATGTCAGTCGGGCCTCAAATGTTTCCACGCGCCTCACTAAGCCGTCACGATGATTTTATTGATGTATTTGTATTATTTTGAAGGCACCTGTCTGTCACAGTCAGCAGAAATGAACAAAGGTGCGTATTAAACAAGCGCTGCTAAAGAGGAAGTGAGATCACATCTCAGAAAACACCCCCATCAGTGCTTCCAGCTGTGCTCGTGACACGCTAAATTTAAGCTTGCAGCAGAGCGGCGCGCTGATTTATGCAGAACTACAGCACCAAGACGTTTACGTTGTTTGGATGTAGGCAGTAACATCAAAGCCTGTGCTGAGGCCTGTCATATTAAAGGTGGGGGAACACCACCCTCCCGTGTAAATGAGTCCTGCAGCAGTGAAACCAGCACGCTTAGATTTATCGCTCTCTTTCTGCGGCGCTGAGCTCTGACTGAAAACAGAAATACTCAGAAAACAGCAGCATTAATGTTGTATTTGTATGGGCCTACTTTCTGCAGAGGACTGATATGAACATATGGTGGTTGTGGAGGTCTAAGAGGCTTAAGAAGAGGGGAAAAGTGTGAGAAACGTCTGCATTTTTCACCGTGTGTGTCAGGGTTAAGCCTCCTGAGCCTCTCTCCTCCAACGCTGATTACACACCATCACTCACGGCAGATATTACACATGTGCAGGCATGCTTCGAATGTGTGTTTGTCGGGGTGTAGCCTGGTCTTCTTCACCTGTCCTCCTTCCTCCACAGAGACACGCAGAGGGAGAAAGAAGCCCTTGTGTTGTATGACCGTCTGTGTTTTTACTTTCCCTGATTGAAGCCGCTGAAAGACCTCCTGTGGGTCGTCTGGCTGAACCTGCTGACTTCCAGTGAAAAATCAGAGCTCATATCAGAGCGCCGCCTTCAGCTGATCTGGTACTGCTGCTCCGTCTGAGGCCTCCGTGAGTTTCTCTGTCTGCCGGAGTCACCGAGCGGTTCTGATGGTTTCAGGGGTTTGTTGAGCTTCCAGTGGTTGTGGACGCGAGTGCACAAGTTCACGCGGTTTTCCAAACGCTTTTTCAAAAGCTTTCAGAGACACCTAGGTGTTTTCAAAAGAGGTCGTAAAAGACGTGATTTTTAAAAAAGACTTTAAGGAGCTCTGGACACGTGGGATGTTTTCAAAGGGGCATTTTAGTAAAATTGAAGAGTTTTTGCATTAAATACAAGTGTGTTGGAGGCATCTGAGTGGCTGAGAGGCTTTGATACACCTTGACTGATGATTTGAAGGCTTCAGGCTGACGTTTAGGAGGTTTTAAGCTTTATAAGGTTGGAAGAAGCTGTTTTACAGGTGGTTTGAAGAGCATTTAAGAGAACTTTGGAGGAATTTCTAGGGAATTTAGGGGCCTTTTTAGAGGTTTTGAAAAACTTATAGGAGGCTGCTGGGACCATTGAGTCTGAAAAGATTCCCAAGTGGCATCAATGCTGTTTGAGGAACTTGTTGATAACCTCGAGGGGTTTTACAGATAACTTTAATGCACTTTCAAAACATTATATTTTATTTTTAAGAGGAATCGAGGGACCTTTAACACATCTAGGCTTCAAAGAACCATCAGGAGGTTGTTGTGTTCTTACATTACCAGTTTGTTGTGGTCATTTGGGCGACTGTTAAGAGGCTTTTTGAGATCTTTACAAGGTTGTGGGGGTCCATTGGGAGTCTCATGACTTGAAGGTATGTTGAGGACCTTAGGAGGGTCTTTTAAAAGGTTTTAAGCAAACTTTTAAGAGGTTTTAAATAACATTTGCAGCTGTTTTAAGAGGTTTGGAAACACTTCTAGCAGGCTGCTGGGATCTTTAAAACGGTCCAACAAGTCTCGAAAGGTCCCAAGTGACGTCAGTGCTGCTTGAGGACGTTGCTGACAAACTCAAGGAGGGTGTTTGAGGAATGTTTCAAGGGGCACAAGCAAGCATGTCGTTGGAGCATTTGAGGGGAGTGTGGTGACTTGCCTGTAGAGGACTACGTCGAGGTTTTAAAGGAGTGCTCAGTAGGTTTGCTGAAGACCTGCAGTGGGATGAACTTTGGGTGATTTTTAGAGGATGTTTTATTTGCCCAGGACTTGCTGACTGTTGCTGTCTGTGTTTCAGATGTGCTGATGAACACCAAGCTGGCCACATCTGACCTAAGATGGACGAGCTACCCTGCTGATGACTCGCAGGTACACATCAAAGCTAATCTGTTAGCTTATAGCTAACACTCTGCATTGCTTTGAATGAAAAGCTCACCTATGATCCGTCTCTGTCCTCAGTGGGAGGAAGCGAGCTCGAGGGACGATCAGCAAAACACTGTGCGGACCTATGAGATCTGCACCATCACTAGCACTTCTTCCTATTGGCTGAGGACGCGCTGGATCCCTCTGAAGG